AGCGAGGTCCCTAGCTAAATGATTGCCTAAGTCCCGCTGCAAAAGATGAATTCTGAAGTGAAAACACTCCAGAAGGTAGAAGCGGCGCGGAGAGCTCCGCCCATTAACGTGTGTGGTTTGAGATAATGAGCTCAAAAGCGGATTTCAGGCTGAATAGAATTATCGAAAATCTAATAACTATAGTGAAGGGAGGTTTCATGGCTTTTTTAGACACACTGGAGCCCGATTTCAGAGTTTTTATGCCACCCATGTTGGTAGGCGGATTGGACGCTTCCACATTTGGAGCAATTTCCTGACTTCGGAAATCATCTTCTGCAGGGAAGTTGGGCCGATTACCTAGTTAGGGTCCCGCGATTATACAGCATCAATCTCAGAATCCTCTATATGGGTAGACTGTGCCTATAAACATGGGGTCCTCGATTTTTTGGACTTTTCTTTGCTTTTTCATTTTCTAAGTGTTTTTCTATACTTTTTGGTTCTGTACGTTACTCCTCCAACTTCTTTGCCCCACGGCATCAACGATACCAATAATAGTGTCTGAGGTGAGTCATCTAGTTACAATATTGTTTTCGAAGTCATATTTTTCATCAAACTCCCCAAGCGGTACGGTTTAGTAAGTCTGCGAGCACCTGCCGAACGTATGATAATGAGAAAAAGTTCTGAATCTTTCAAACTAGCATATTTCAATCAGTAAATCATGTTCTGGTTCTATCTGCAAACAGCAGTAATTCTGCAAAATCTATGAAAGTTGAAGTTACATGTGCCTTCTTTGCGGAAATTTAGGGTTTGAGCTAGCATGGGAATTTTTTTCAAAAAAAAATCTGCTGTTGCACCCTCACTTGAGAAGAAGCGCCTTGTGAGCGCCTCTATCAAGACTATTTTTCAATATTTTGGACAAGATTTGTTCGTCATGTATTGCGCTCTTTTGTTGCACATAGTAAAAAAGAAGCAATTACTTTCATTGTGCACAACATTACAAAACCTAATCAGTGGATACTTCATGTCTGTGATATAGAGATAAAATGTCCAACATGTGTTGCTTTGTAAGAATCTTGCAATTCCGTAGGCATTTGGAAATTTGAAGGCAAAGCATGATAATTACCGCAGAAAAAGCTATTTCAGCTTGATGGCGGACAAAAAACACTTTCTGCAGGTGGTTTATGAGATGCTGGAAATTCAGATGTACGCAGGCTGCAGCCTGCGATGAGGAACAGGTTTACAACAGCTAAAATCATACATTGCAAGCAGAAAATATAAGTAAGAAAAGGCTACACACTAATTCCGTAGACAAACAGCAGACAAAGAGTGGAAAGCGAGAAGAAGAGGAATATTTGTGCTTTAAGAGCATGAATTATTAGAGAGATTTTTTGAAGTGTCGAAACATTCAGGCACCATCGATGTGGCAGGTCTGATGCAAGTTAGGAACGAAATTTGAAAATGTTATGGACTGTATACCAAGGACGAGCACATCTTTTGTGGGGCGTGGTATTCAAATCGTTCATCAAATCATAAAATTTTCCAAAACTTTGTGCGTAAGATTTAGAAAGCAGCGGTTAAAAAAACTGCTTTTGTTCGGTTCATAGCAACTTTCTGCCCATGAGGAACACAGCTCGCTCCAAAAACCGTCAAAATTCACTGTGACAGATAATAACAATTCGTTTCTGGAAAGGCAGACTACCATCCTTGTGCCTTACAAGGGAATGGTCAGAAGTCGAAGTGGCCATTCCAGACAAGCTGCATACCATTAAATGCAGCATGAAGCGCTGGCTCTAAATAAATATGTCTTCCTTACCTGCTTATCACTTTTCTGGACGAAGCTATAAGCCATTGAAAACCATTAATTTGTTAAGAAATTATGCGTGAAATTGAAAATTTAGCCGTACAGAGCCACGTTCGTCTCATTGCTGGGCCAAAACATGCCGCTAGCTTACTTAAAATTTTTGAAGCCAGAAACTGAGCTAAAAGCACAACAATGTGCTCAATTTCGCTGTTTTATGTATGATTTTTTCACAATAAAACCGCTTGTAGCTTCGTCCACAGAAGCGAGAAGCAGATAAGGGAGACAGAGTCGAAGTCAGCCTTTTATACTACATCGAATGATTTACAGCTTCTCTGGTTGGGCCACTTCGACTTCTGACCATTCCCTTGTTAGCCTGAAGGGAAAAACATGAAAAGATCTTAAAAAATCTCGATCGTACTTGAATTTTTTGAACTTCAAACAGAAAAGACAGCTATATGCTATTCTTTAGACATTGCGTAATATATGGGAAATGTGAAAGCTGACATGAAAAGGACGCTGAGCCAACATTGATTCATTATCTGCAATGTGTTGAGTCGAATGAATCCGGTTGGTGATGTGTCCATCAAGCAGGCATATAGAAGAAGTGGACGCAAATTTTCCTCGATGTTATTTGGATTTGAGCTCCCAAGGCAAGCGATTATTGTGTAGCTGTGTTTTCGGATCAAATGGCTTAGGGCAGACGATTGGAAAAATGCTTATAATGTTTAGCACTGGAACTGGAACTTTGCTACGGATTTTTGCGTTATCCGGACACGTAAATCAACTAAACAACTAGAGAAGGTTTTAGAAAAAAGGCAATTTGGGCACAATTCTGATTTAAGTCAAATCCCGGAAGAATGTGGATGGTTCATAGTTGCAGAGCGGGCGCAACGGAAGCGCGTCATCGCATAGGATGCATGAATGCGCGTCGCGACGCGTGCGCGCCATGTACAACGGCAACGGCCTTTCCTTAAAATTGATACCGCAGTCCCAGTCTAGTTCTTCTGCGTAAAGGGCATTCAAAAAATCGTGACGATGGCGCTACCGCGCACGACACGCACGCGCACATTCCGGCAACCGCATTTTCTAGGTTTTCATCTCTACTCGAACAGTTTTTCTGCTTACGTAAAATAGTATTTGGACATTGAAAGAGACTGTGCTAAGAGTTGAGGTGATGGTATGAGTGTTTTCTGCACCTGCGGGCGCAAAGACCGCAGTCAGATCCGTCGTCACAATTTTACAAACGACCTATAATTGATTACTTTTATTCCTAGTCGACAAGTCGGCTAGAGATAAAAGTAGGCTTAGATAATTTTCATCATAAATGACATGGAAATAGAAAACAAGGAAAACATCGCAGAGCTGGCGATACCGTTTTGCATGCAATCAAAAATTAATGCAATCCATTACGATCAATAAGTGGGGTATTTGCATAAAACCAAAGTCTAAATGAAAACAACTACGCTGCGTGATCTAGTCCCCATCCTGCTCTAGTATTCGTATATGTTACCTCTGGACTTCAACAATTACCTGGTAGTTCCTACTTACCAAACCTTACTAACTCATAGCAATAATATTCTCGCGCTGGCAACTCGCCAAATTTAGTAGGTTACAGCCTTTGAAACTTGAAAAATTCTTTAGAATAAGAACTCACATAGCAAAGTGTTATGAAGAGGGGTGGCTCAGAGAATAATGCACGTCTAGCTAGGCGGAGAAGAGCTTTTCGATTAATTCAATTGCAATTGTAATGCATTGGGCGATGCAAAAAAAGCTGAAACGACATCCAGACGCACAGAAATCGAGCGATGCACATGCATTACGATTGAGATGTTCAAATGGAAAACCGAAACAATGCCGACGCTCTCCATAAAACCACTAAGGAATGATTTTTGAAGAAGAAAGGCATATTTCTGCCGTTTTGAGTTGAAATTCCGAATTTGGGGATTAAAAATTTTTTATTTTATGTATTTATCTACGGTTCAAAATCTTAAGTGAGCCACAGACGCCTTCTCTTTATTCCTATATACTTTAGACAAATATGAATTTCTACAGTGACAAAAAGGACGTGAAAAAATTGTTTCAAAAATTTCTTTTTTAAAAAGAAGATGAGTTACCAATGAAATGTGTGAGTTGCGTTTATAGCATAAGTTTGATACTGATGCCAGAAGCTGCAAAGAAAATGTAGTACGCAGACAACAAAAAATACGCGATGCCGCTGCGCTTGTGGGACTGAGTTGTCTGCGTCGATGAATACAGAAAAACAACCTCTGTATAACTTGCAATATTGTAAATGTCATGAAAAATACCATAAATAATTAGAATGATAATCTGCTCAGTTTGCTATGAAACGTTGAAAGTAGAAAAACTTAGAATATATTTGGACATTCAGAGACAACCTGGGCGCATGACTACCGTCGTGCGTCCTTTCTTGAAAATCCGAAGCTAACTTGCTAAAATTTGAAAAAAACGCCCAGCAAATTTTTCCTACTTATCATCCAGCAGAACCCCCCCCCCCCTCAAGAAAATTTCTGAATATATGCAGCACGTCATCAATAAAACAATTTTTTATGCTTGACGAAATAATGCTCCTATCATTACGTAAATATGACAATTATTGTCTCATTCTATTCCAATAAAAATAAAATGAATATAATTTTGCAGGAACACGTCACAGAAAAGTTCTGCACTCAACAAAATTCCTAAGTAATAATGGGATCATAGTGATAATGGTGTCGCTTATCTTTTTTGAAACAAAAAACTTGCACCATTTTGACTAATGGTCGTTGGATCAAATCGATCTACTTAGGAAAAAAATTCTTCTGGATCCTACTATACACATCAAACTCGTCGAAATAAAAAGATTATGAGACGTCACGTCTTCTAAATTTGTTCAAAATCAAGATTCTACAAGATTTACTTCGTCTCGCAAGATGAAAAAAGTTACACTTTTCTACCCATAAAATCGTTCTTTGTATTGTCTGTTCAAAATTCCAAGCACTCCCGCACATTATCAATGATTTACGATTGACGTCACATTTCAAAAATCTGTCTAGTGAATTTATGTCGAAAGGGAAGAGCATATAGACATTGCGAAAGATTCACAGCCACGCGTACGCCACTAAGACCGTGTAAATCGTCTTAAAGTATTTTTTACGGGACGAACGAGTGAGAAAAGCAAACTTTAGCACTCATAAAATCGTCGCAGTACGGGTTGTAAACTGTCACGATGATTTGCGAAGTGTGAAGATTCACTGGCTTGCTTCAAGAAAAAGGGTTAACTCGCTGACTTATTAGTGTTCTTCTTTTAAGATGTAAAAAAATCAAAAGAGAACCTAGGTTGTGTTAACTACTAAGTGAGCGATCTTACAATTCACGTGGTCTGAGGGGTTACATCAGAAAAATAAGAAAGGATGATTTATTAATCGCAAATGAAAACGGGTATACGTGTAGGCGAATTGACCAAAAAAGGAAAAGAAGACAGATAATGGGATTCAGAATCAAAATCATATATTAAAACTTCAAAAAGACAAGAGCAATTTGACGTAACAACGTTTAGCAAAGGAAAATGGATGTTAAATCATTTTATGCTACCTTTGAAAAATAATAGCTAAACGAGTAATTCCCAGTAAGCAAAATCAATCAAGCAGAATACTCCCAAAGCAAAATTCAATGATAATTGGGCCAAAAAACTTCTTCTACGATACTGCAAATCCCATTTACATGGGTGTGGCAAGCAGACAGTGAGAACAAGAGAGAAGGACACAATTTGCGAAACTCGGTAAAACTTAAGAAAGGCCGAAAACTGACTTTGAATGATAGAGTTATGTTGAGTAAAGATAGAAAGAGCCTAATAGGAAATGAGAAAGGCGAGGTAAATCAAGCTTGATGAGACTGTATTATAACTATTTAATTCAAAACATATTGGTAAGGCTTTTCATGCTGGAACAAAGAGCGCCAAGCAAATAACTTGCTGCTAAAAGATGATCGCATTAAGTTTAGAAAACACTCTTTTCTCAGTTGTTCCTTTTTGGCAATTATGTATGCTTGAACATTATTTTTAGTAGATGTAATGGATGTAAGAAGCACATGAAAACAATCTCCATATATAAGAACAACAATCTCACAAAAAATGCGAAATTAATGATGGAACTGCCATATCTTCGAATCATTATATACAGGGTGTCCCAAAAATTACAGTACACACTTTTCAAAGGGTATCAACTCTCTTCCCACAATGAATCAGAGCAGGATGTAATTAGACTAGCGGCCCTAAGGGCCGCTTGCAAGTATGCTAGGGTACATATAGTCATCACCACAATAACCTCTACGTTTTATACCTTTTTAGGACTTTTGACTCTTCTGATTGTGAGAATCCTCTTTGCTGATTATTCGATACCTTTTGACTCTCTTCTAAAAATTTTCTTTGGGCCAAATGTTTGCACCAATCTCAACAGAGTCACCAAGCAGTCGACTCTCAAAGCGACAATGTAGTCTACACTCAGCTAAACACTCAGAAAGTACCTAGTTCCCGAAAAATTCCGGCAGCGAAAACAAGCATTGTATTCTCATGCCTTATGCGTCGCCTATAAACCACTTTTTGCAAATACGTACTGCTCCGCGCCTTCAGAGCGGTATATGTGAGAGCTGCCCCACGATCCTGGAGAAGAATACTTCAAGAAAAACTTTCCTACAGGCCTCCTACAGAGCGGTAATCTGAGAAAATAGTGCCCTTCATACCCCTACAAATGATATCGTATTCTGGGATAAGTCTGCCATACAATCCCCCCCCCTACAAATCGAATATTGCGGGGAAGCCTTTAAGCTGCTTACAGACGGAAAAATTGCCCTATGGTCCGCCCACGGACGGTAATTAGTCATTAGAAGGAAATGCCCTATGGGCCGCTTACAGACCCTTATTTTGACAATACTACACTGTGGGCTGCTTACAGACTGGTATTTTTCAAAAAAGATATTTTCAAAAAAGAACTGCTCATGTAGAATGATCCTACGAGCCGCTTACGGACCTTTTCCAGAAAAGGTTGCCCTATGGACGCACACAGACCGATATCAAGAAGAAATTGTCCTTTAAATCTTCAAACCAACTTTCAAAAATTGTCCTAAGAGCCGCTAAAAGTCTATTATTGCAAGAAGCAGTCGCTCGCCCTATGTGTAGCACAAGCTGGTATTTTGAAACAACAGAAGCTATGAGCTGCTTGAGACATATCTTTACGTAACTACCATCGATATATTAGAGAATATAACTGCCCTATGCGCCGCTGCAGAGTGGTAGTTATAGAAAGAAAATGCCCTAGAGGCCACTAACAGACCGATGTTTTGAGAAGTTACTCACAGTCCCCTACAGACCGAGGTTTATAAGAACCCCCTTCCCCTTCCTCCGTCGTTCCTCTCCCAACAAACCCTACTGGAGAAAGAACCGTGCTGAGACTGCCCTAACAAGGGAAGTGTCAGAAGTCGCAGTGGCCTTTTGACATGGGATGGGTACCATCTTAAGCAGCTTTAAATGCTGATTCCAAAACAAACTTTCTTAGCTGCAGAACTGATCTGGGTCGCGTATGGGCATTTTAAATATTAAATTTTACACTGTTTGAAGTACTCTGTGATCACGGGAACCTTTCAATTGCTTGTTTAAGCACCACAGCATGACTTTGATGAAGGCGTAGGATTACGTTAAACATTGTTGGACTGTTTCATCTATGTTTGAGCCCGAAAAAATGTTCGCTTTGATTTTTGGCTATTTTCAGCGTTGTAAATTTCCCGCAAATTGAATTCAATAACTCTCGTCCTAGATTAGTTCTGCAGCTAAGAAAGGCTGCTTTGGAATCAGCATTTCAAGCTGCTTCAGATGATACTTATTTCATGTCAAAAGGCCACTGCGAGTTCTGACACTTCCCTTGTAAGACCGATATTCTGAGAAAAGGCTATCTTACCCTCCCCCCTCTTCCTTCCCCCACAGACCGATAATTACAGGAAGCCCTGCCCTATGGGGGATCAACAGATATTCCAGATTACAGATCTACAGCCCCTACAAACTGTATTGCCCTACGAGGCACTCACGTATAATCTGCTCTATGGACAGCCAAAGACCGAAGTCTTGAGAAAGAAGCTGCCAGCTATTTATTGTTAGAGGCCTACACAATGGTATTTTGAGGAGGAACCGCCCTTGGAACCTATATACAACCAATATTTTGTGATAAAACTGCTCTATGGGCCACCTACAAACCATAATTTGAGAAAGGACTGCCTTATGGGATTTTAGAGACCAATATTTCAAGAAAAATTGCTCTATGTGCCGCTGCAAATCGATAATTTCTAAAAGGAGCGGCCGAGCGGGGAGGGGGGGGGGGGCTTGCCAACGATAATTTGTAAAGAATCGCTCCATGGGCCTCTTGCAGCATTTTGGGAAATAACCGCTCTATGGGCGTTCACAGACCAATATATCAAGAATTGAGCTGGAAACCCTCAAACCAATATCTCGAAAAAAATTGCAGCCGTTCAAAGACCGATATTTGAGAAAGAGCGCTTTCCGAGTCCCTTATGAATTAGTCTTCTGAGAGAGAAAAAATTAGAACAGGTTACAGTATATCTACGCCTCATACAAACCAACTTTCACAAGTAACTCCTCTACGCGCCGCACACAGACCGACAATTTTAGGAGGTGCCCTAGTCGCTTATACATCAGCATTTTGAGAAACAAGTACGAGCCTAAAAAGTGCCTGATGAGAAGCTTATGGAA